TCCTGCTTTCCGTCTCCTTCTTTCTTAAATAGAAGCATTATATTTGTAACTCTCCTGCACACATCTTTGCATAATTGTTTATTTTTTAATTTCAAAATATAGACTACCTCCTTAAATGTCTCCCACTGCTTTCCTCGGTCCACAGTACCCATAAATTACTGCAAGACAGGATATTTGTTCTTGTGGGCAGATTAAAACTAAGAGATTCTGTTTAAGAATGAGGTCTCCATTTTAAAATAGAAATAAGGAAACTTTCTCTCAGAAGGTTGTTAGCACGTGGAATTCTCTACCCTGGAGGCCAAAAGTAATTTATTTATTCAAGGTAGAGTCAAATAGCTTTTCAATAGATGAGTCAAGGATTACGGGGAAGAGCCAGGAAGCTCAGTCCCATGATCTGTAGCATCATGCACAAGTCAATAACAGAATCCCATGAGGACTACACATTGACTGCAGCAGTTCCGGAAGGCAGCTCACCACACATTCTCAACAGCAATAAATGCCGGGCCAACCAGTGACACCCATGTCCCACGAGTGAATTAATCAATATCAAGTGATCACCAATAAATCGATATCGGGCAGTCACCAATTCATCCATATCAGATAGTTGCCAATAAATCGCTAATAAATTCAATAGCGAAGGTCGAAGAAACTATTTGAGTGAATTGCGAGGATGATGCTGATTGACTTCAGAGGGTCATTGACAAGTTGACCAAATGAGGAAACACGTGGCAGATGAATTTCAATGCAAAGAAATTTGAGGTAATGCATTTTGGGTGAAGAAACACGGAGAGACATTACAGGTGCAGTGGTACAGATTTGAGGGGAGTACAGGAGCAGAGGGACCTTGGCGTTCAAGTGCATAATTCTCTATAGGTGGCCAGGTAAGTTGGAACAGTTGTTAAGAAGGCTTATAAGATCCTTATGTTTATAAATAGAGGCATAGACTATAAAAGCAAGGAAGTAATGCCACACCACTGCAAATCATTGGTCAGATCACATCTTCAGTATTTTGTTCAGTTCTGGGCCCCTTATTTAAGGAAGGATGTTAAAACCCTGCAGAGAGTGCAAATGAGATTTACTGGAATGATACCAGGAATGAGGGATTTTAGACACAACAAAGGATTAGAGAGATTGGGTTTACTCTCCTCGGAGCAGAGAATATTAAGAGGTGACCTTATTGGGGTATTCAAAATTATGAACAATTTTGACAGAATAATGTTGGATATTCTGTTTCCACTACTTGTTACGTCAGTAATTAGGGGTTACAATTTCAAGATTGTTAACAAGTGAGCTAGGAGTAAGATGAGGAGAAACTTCTTTACTCAGAGTTTTTAGGATTTGGAATACGCTGCCTGAGAGAGTGGTGGAAGCAGATTCAATAGGTTTAAAAGAGAGCTGGATGCATATTTGAAAGTGATGAATTTAGTCTACAGTGATAGGGCTGGAGAGTGGGGCTAGCTGAGCAGCTCTTTCGGTGAGCTGATCGAATGGCTTCCTCCTGTGCTGTAAAATTCTATAATTCTATGATTCTAAATTTTAATTGCTCTGAGAATGGCTTGAATGAAAAATTCTATTACCAAGAAGATTATTTTTAAGTAGAATCCATAAATACTTTAAAAAGGGAATTATAATGTTGCTTGAGAAGAAAATTGTTGAATATTAGCTTTCCTCGCGTTTGTTTCTTTGCACATTCATCTCCATATTTGCTGAATCTATCAATGAGAAATAGGCCCAAATGTATAGATACATGCAATAATCTCAATAATTTGTAGATCCAATCCATTTGTGTGTCCTTTTATGCTCAGCAGCAGGTTTAAAAGACTACAGCTATAGTGTGAATGTCGCACTCATAAAAGCGATAGATGATATCCCAATGAACAGCTCTTGAATTGCCCCATTATAAGATGCTGGAATTATTCCAAATTCATCAGCCTCTGCTCTCTGTTTTGCAGAACAAAAATGCTTCTCATTTACTCAGATTTGACACTGGAATGAAAATACAAACGAAGAGCATGAGTAGACAATTCAGCCCCTCAAGCTTGCTCCACCATTTACGACAATCATAGCTGATCTCATCTCAGCGTCAACTTCACTTTCCTGGCCACTCTCCATAACCCTTTAACCCATTATTATTAAAAATCTATTTCCTCTTTAAATTTACTCAAGGTCCCAACATTCACCATACTCCGGGGTTTTGAATTCCACAGATTCACAGTGCTTTGAGAGAGGCAATCCCTGTTTTAAATCTGCAACCACTTACTCTTCAACCATGACCTCTCATTCAGGATTGCATCATATGATGACGCATCCTCTGTATGTCTACTTTGTCATTTTAAGCATTTTAATACCTCAAGTAGATTTTCTCTCATTCATCTAAATTCCAGAAATTATAGCACTAAACTCTATAGGTATCTCTTCATAAGACCACCCCTCATCTCTGGAATCAGTCTAGTGAACCTCCTCTGATCTGCCTCCAATGCAACTATGGCCCTCCTCAAGTAAGGTAACCAAACCTGTACACAATACACCAGTTGCAATCACACTAATGTTTTATACAGTTGCAGCAACACTTCCCCATTTTCACACTCTATTCCTTTAGCAATAAATGCCAAAATTACACTTGCTTTCCTTATTAACTGCTGTACCTATCAATGTTCTTGGGGTTGTCATTGAATAGAAACTCAGTTGAACTCTTCACATAAACACAGCAGCTAAAAGAGCAGGTCAGAGGCTAGGAATACTGAGGTGAGTATCTCATCTCCTGAATCCCCAAAGCCTGTTCACCATCTACAAGGCACAAGTCAGGAGTGTGATGGAATACTGCTCATCTGCCTGGATGGTTGCAGCTCCAACAACATTCAAGAAGTTTGACATCATCCAAGACAAAGCAGCCTCCTTGATTGGCACCACGTCCACAAGCATCCACTCCGTCCACCACCAACGCTCACAAGCAGCAGCACATCTACAAGATGCACTGCAGAAATTCACCATGGCCCCTTCGACAGCACCTTCTAAACTGATGACTACTTTCATGTTGAAGGACAAGTGCAGCAGGTACATGGGAAGATCACCACCTGTGAATTCCCCTCCAAGCCATTCACTGTCCTGACTTGGAAGTATATCACTGTTCCTCCACTGCCACTGGGTCAAAATCCTGGAATTCCCTCCCAAATGGAATTGTGGGTCAGCCTACAGCATTGTTCACATCCTACAAGTGAATAAAATAAAAACTTGCACACTAGTTTTCTGCAATTCATGCATGAGGACATCTAGATCCCTCTGCATTGAAGCATTTTGAAGTTTCTCTCCATTTAGAGAATAAGTTGCCTTTCTATTCTTCTGACCACAATGGATAACTTCACACTTAAACTCCATTTGCCAAATTTTGGCCCATCCTCCTTATCTATCCATATCCATTTGTAAATTTCTGATTTCTCCATTGCAACTCACTTTCCCATGTATTTTAGTGTCATCTGCAAATTTGACTATAGTACCTTCAATCGCCACATCCATGTCATTAATATAGACAGTTAGGGCCCGAGGACTGAACCCTGTGGTATTCCACTAATTACATCTTGCCAACCAGAAAAATACCCATTTATCCCAATTCTCTGCTTTTTGTTGGTTAACCAATCCTCTATCCAAGATAATAAATTACCCCCAACTCCATGTGATCTTACCTTGCATATTAACCTTTTGTGCAGCACCTTTTCAAATGCCTTCTGGAAATCCAGATATGCTACATTTCCAGCATTGTGCATCGTCATTATCCATATTGTTCATGGAATCCCTACAGTGTGGAAACAGGCCCTTTGGCCCAACAAGTCCACACCGACACTTGGAACATCCCACCCAGACCCATCCCCCTATAACCGACCTAATCTACAGACCTCTGAACACTATGGGCAATTTAGCTCAGCCAATCCACCTAACCCGCACATCTTTGGACTGTGGGAGGAAACCGGAGCACCCAGAGGAAACCCACGCAGACACGGGGAGAATTTGCAAACTCCACACAGACAGTCGCCCAAAGGTGGAATTGAACCCAGATCCCTGGCGCTGTGAGGCAGCAGTGCTAACCACTGAGCCACCATGCTGCCCAAATTGCTGGTTAACACCTTCAAAAAACTCTAGCAAATTAGTCAAACAGGATTTAGCCTCATTAAAACCATGCTGACACTGTTGCATTCTGTTTTGACTTTCCAAATATCATGTCATTACTTTCTTAATGATGGATTCTAGCAATTTCCCCAATGACAGATGTTAAACTAACTGGTCTATAGTTTCCTACTTCCTGCCTTCCACCCTTTTTGAATAAGGGAATTCAATTTATATTTTCCTAAACACTGGAACCTTTCTTGCATCCAGGAAATTTTGAAATATTACAACCAGTGGACCCATTATGCCTGCTGCCATTTCCTTTGAGACCTTCAGATGAAAGCCTTCAGGCGGACTGCCTCAGGTCGATTCAGTTCTCTCTTTGCTTCTTTCAGTTTCATGTCAGGCTGATACTGAAATCAGGCTGCATTCACACTCCCGCTGTAGCATCTTACTCACATACAAGCTATGTACCTTCACTCACTATCTGCTGTACAGTGATTCTGATCAGATCAAGCAAGTGCAATTACCACCCCTCTATAGGTATGATGCGGAGGTGCCAGTGTTGGACTGGAGTGGACAAAGTCAGAAGTCACACGACACCAGGTCAGGAAGGAGCAATGCTCCGAAAGCAAATAAACCTGTTGCACTGTAACCTGGTGTCATGTGACTTTGGACTTTCTCCATAGATAAGTAGCCAAATTGTACACTCTCCATCAATTCCACAAGGTTTTCCCTCCCAGAACTGATTATAAAGATTGAGTTTGTTATTGGACACCAAACTGTTCTTGCCTGAGTGAGCTGAGAGAGAGTAAACCTGTGACAATTGAAGAATTGATTGATTATAACTGTGGTGAGGCTTTAATAAAATCCCAGTTAATGGTACTTTGTTTTAACTGTAGCTCAAAAAGAAGACCCTGGAAGTCACCGTTTGGGATTACGATCGGCTCTCTTCCAATGACTTCCTTGGTGAAGTGAGTAACAAAGACGTAGATTAAAGCAGTGTCAATCAATTATTGAAATTAAATCAAAGTAATGATTTTTTTAAAATTTTCAGTTTTCTATATTATTGGACAGTTCTTGTTTTTGTTGTTAATTTTGTTTTATTGGTTTATTTGTTTTTACTACTCGTCATTGTGGAAATATATGCTATTTTGATTGCATCTTGAATAGTATATTGATTATTAGATACATTTCCTGTGAGATAATAAACTATTACAAAAGGTAAAGGAGCATAGAAACTTGGTCTGGATACACAAATCTTTAAAGGTGGAAGAAAATCTAATGTATTTTATAAAATAAAGCAGATAAGATCCTATGATTTATCAATAAGGGCTTTAAGACAAAGCAAAAAACTAATTCTACAGGCATACAAGTCATCAGATTAGCTACATTAAAAACACATCTAATGCAGTTTGGATGCCAAGGCCATGGAGAGAATACAGAAGAGCTATTCCTGGATGATAACCGTAACAAGAGGCTTTGATCACAAGGAAACGCTAGAAAAACTGAGATTTTGTTCGTTCAAGAAGTTTATGTCTTCATATGATGGAACTATTCAGAATTATTGTGGGATATGACAGAATGTCAGCAATTTTCCATTGCTTTTTCCTGACTTTGTTTCATTGGTCTCCTAACAAGTTTCGAAATTATGTATTGAATATGTAGAAGATCACTCTACAATTTGTCTGGAAGTAACCTCAGGATGATCTTATTTAAATCAGTAACATTACAAAGTGGCAGTGGTGTGAAGGGAACAGTCTGGGGTGATCATAGTTCTGTTAATGAACATGCTCCTAATTGCATCAGCAATGAAACAGATTAGCTGGAACATAACAATGTAGTTCAAATATCACTGGTACAAGTGAAACTAAATAAACGGAAAGAATTGCCTGAAACCCATGTAGACACGGGGAAAACTTGCAAACTCCACTCAGACTGTCACCTAAGGTGAAACTGAACCTGAGTCCCTGGCACTGTGAGGCAGCAGTGCTAATCACTGAGCCACCGTGTTGCCCCAATCCATCGAGTCCACACCGACCGTATTCCCAAACTAAACTGATCCCTACTGCCTGCATTTGGCACATATCTCTCCAAACCTTTCTTATTCATTTACTTGTCCAAATGTCTTTTAAATATTGTAACTGTACCTGTATCTACCACTTCCTCTGGCAGTTCATTCCACACACTAACCACTCTCTGTGTAAAAAGGTCGCCCCTCATGTCCATTTTAAATCTTTCTCCTCTCACCTTGAAAATATGTCCCCTAGTTTTTAACTCCCCACCTTAGCTTAAAGACATTTGCTATTCATCTTATCTATGCTCCTCCTGATTTTATAAACCTCTGGTTAGAAGTGATGTGCAACGAAAATGATACTGACAGTGGGGTTACTGTAAGAGTGGCATTGGAATGAAAAGTGTGACTTAATCAGCTAGTGGGACATGAATGTTTCAATAATCCAGTCTTCTCTCATAAGGATTCTCTCCTCATAGGGACTAAGGAGTCTAATGTTGGGCACCCCTCCACCAATTGGACTCTTTAAGCTCTATCATGGATTATGCCTCCTGGAATGAGAGAAAAGGAAAGATTGAGTGAGATGTTATTGTTGGTGCAGGTTGGGGAAGGTGGTGAGGTATCCTGAGCAAGTGAACAGGCAGCATAGATTGGATGGTGGGTGAATGCAGTAGGAGATTGGGATGGGTGAAAGTGAGTGAAGAACGGTGTTGCAGGCATTACTGGTAGTGGTAGAACATGAAGCTTAGTGGGAGGTGGGTGCAGTAGCAGAGATAAATTGTCAGATAGCAGAGAGAAGAGTGTGCCTTGGTGGAGCAAAGAATGTCTTCAGCTTCCTTGCAGCATTGCTGTCTATTCCTCCTCACTGTGGAGGCAGCACTGACCTGGGCGGTGACCTCTGTCCTCTGGGAAGAAAACAACCCATCATTCTACACTTCTCCACTAGGCCTCCAGGGCCATGTGAGAAAATTGAGTTCCACCTTCCACTTATCTGACATCTTCAGAGTGACCGTCCTCACTTGAGCAAGGCAGCTTTGGAATGCTAATATCGGTATAGGTGCATAGCAACTTTTAAAGATGATGTGGGCAAAGATGCTTCAATGGATATCTGCTGAGGGCAGGTTATTTTGTGAATGGCATATGCTAAGACAGGGTGGGATTGGACACGGAGAATGCCATTGTGACAGGATTGGTTAGTAATGAGATAAGTTTGGTACAGTAAGACCAGAGAACTCTTTGGGCCTTGTGGCAAGAAAATGTCAGAAAAACCCAATTTAACTTGCATTTCAACAAAAGACAGTGAGATTCAGCCCCCTGTTTTGTTTAGAAATGCGCAATGTTAATCTTCTGCTGAGATAATGAGAGTCCACACATAACTTTCCTGGGTTCAACAGACATTATATAATTTTTATCACTCATTACAACATTGAAAACTTAGTAATTACCACTTGTACAAACCACAACTTTTTCTTCTATTTTTTGACTAAGTGTAATTAATAAATAGTCTCAGTGCATGGTGCAATGCATTCCATTAGCAACAACGCCAACACCATAGTCTTTAGAGAAGCAGTGAATCACCTTGACAGCAACTTCAGGATTTCTATCTGTAACTGTTTCCATGCAGATCCCAATCATATGTTTAATGATTTACCAACAATGAAGGGGAACATTGATGGCAGAATCCTTGGGGTTAAACCTCAAACTAAATTAGAGTTGACACCATTGTTTATATTGTTTTATTTAGTCAACGAAGTGGGAACATGCCATATTCCCAGCTCTCCTCTAATTAGACACACCTGTAGACAGTCTGGGGACAGCAGTTCATACCCACTGAAAGGACCCCATTCAAATATTGCTGGTATTTACCTAAATGCTGCCAGGGAGTACAACAAGCAAACCCATTGGTGGTAGCTTCCATGGGAATCCCTCATTCAAAGGCATTCAGTTTTTCAGTGCCTGATTAAGGGCCCTAACATCAGAAAGAGAAGCCAGCTGAGGATCTTTATCCTGCCATTGCAACTAATGTCCCCTTCTCCATCCCTGCATTCCCCATCCTGTGAACTCCCTCCCCATCATCACTCAATCCGACCTGTCATCCATTGGCAGTCAGATCTTTTGCTCCTTTTGAGGGTGGGCATGAGTTGGGGTGTGCTTTAACCTTGGTGTCATAGTAGAGCAAAGTGTAGCAGATTTCCCAAAGAGATGCAATGCAGGGGTCAGGGCCATCACGGCCTCTAAACGATTCCAGCCTATGATTGTCCCATGATCACATGTATCATCATAAATAAGTATTTAAATAAATATTTAGGGGCGGCACGGTGGCACGGTGGTGGGGCGGCTCAGTGGTGGGGTGGCACAGTGGCTCAGTGGTTAGCACTGCTGCCTCACAGCGCCAGGGACCCGGGTTCAATTCCACCCTCGGGCAACTGTCTGTGTGGAGTTTGCACATTCTCCCTGTGTCTGCATGGGTTTCCTCCGGGTGCTCCAGTTTCCTCCCACAGTCCAAAGAGATGCAGGCTGGGTGGATTGACCATGCTAAAGTACCCATAGTGTTCAGGGATGTGTAGATTAGGTGGGTTATAGGGGGATGGGTTTGGGTGGGTGCTCTGAGGGTTGGTGTGGACTTGGTGGGCCAAAGGGCTTGTTTCTATGATTCTATGAAGTAACTTGTGAAGAGTGCGCTGAATATACTGCAAGCATCAGCAAGCAGGACACAGATGAAGCATCTTTACTAATGGCTTCTTTTAGTTGTAGACTTGCTCACCAAGCCAGTGTGTTTGATTGTAGATGTTTTGTCACGCTGCTAGGTAACATTGTCAGTGCACTACCAGTAAAGCGATGGTGTTCTGTCCTGCTTGTTAATTATATGCCTCGGTTTGCTGTTGTAAATAACAATCAGGACAGAACACCAACGCTTCACCGGAGGCGCACTGACGATGTTACCTAGCAGGGTGACAAAACATTTGCAACCAAACACGCCGGCTCGGCGAGCGAGTCTACAGCCTCATCCACAATCCAAGCTACAAATCTTCTCAAAAATGTTAGGCTTCTTTCAGTGCTCTAAAAATTATTAGGACATTTGGCAAATAACTATCCCAACATTACTGTTTTATGAGTGTAGATAGCAGCTGTTCCATTTTGTCTGTTTTGAAAATTAGCCTCAGAGTTCATTATCATAAAAACCTTTATCTTTCGGCCAAGGAAGCATTTAATTTACAATTTCTGACAGAATAAGTCTCCTATATTGCTTCTAAAAGACAGAAAATGATGTGAATAGGAATCTTAAATTATTTGAACTGAAGCAATAGATGCAGAAACAAATGATAAAGCTTTATAAACCACAGCAGAAGGAAAAACAAGGTGATGTATAGAGGAGGGTGTGATTTATTCTGGGCAACCAATTATGTCTTGCTCGGTGTTATGACAGAAACTGGGTCTTTTGTTCAAATTCATGTTAGTTTTCACATAAAGAAAATATCTATCTGAGTATTTTTTTTTGTTCTAATTCACTCAGGAATGTGGACTTTGCTGGTTGGGCCATTATTTATTCTCCATCTCTAGTCGCCCCTTGAGAACCTGCCTTCTTGAACCACTATCGTCCATGTGCTGTAGGTAGACCCACAATGTTGTTAGAGAGGGAGTTCCAGGATTTTGACTTACGAACAGTGAAGGAGCTGTGATATATTTCCAAGTCAGGATGGTGAGTGGCTTTGAAGGGAGCTTGCAGGTGGTGATGTCCATATGTTTCTTCTTCCCTTTTTTCGGTTTGGAAGGTACGGTCTAAGGATCCTTGGTGAGTTACTGCATCTTGTAGATGGAACACGTTTCTGCTACTGAGCATTGGTAGTGGAGGGAGTGGATGCTTGTAGATTTGGTGCCAATCAAAGCTTCTTGGATGTTGTTGGAGTTGCACTCAGTTAGGCAGGTAGGGAGTACTCCATCACACTCCTGACTTGTGTCTTGTCAATTGCCAATGACGTAAAGGGCTATGGTGATTGTGTGAGTAAAAGGCATTGAAATATTCGATCAGCCATAATCGTATGAATGGTGGAACAGGCTTGGTGGGTAGAATGACCTAATCTTATTCCTATTTTTCTGTTTTCCATGTTTCTAAAGGGAAGTGAGGGTGATTTAGTCAAGTTGAGTGAGTGGGAAAATGCATGGGACATGCCGTAGAATGTGGGTAAGTGTGAAGTTATCCCTTTCAGTAGGAAAAAACAAATGGCAGAATATTATTTAAATGGTGATAAGTTGGGAAATTTTGATGTACGGAGGACCTACACAAGAGTCCTTGTACACGGATCATTGAAAGAAACAGGTTGTCATGAAGGCAAATGGTATGTTGGCTTCGTCAGAAAAAGATTTGAATACAGGAGTAAAAATATTGTGCTTCATTTTTGTAGAATCTTGGTGAGACTACTCTTGGAGTATTGTGTATAGTTTGGTCTTATTATCTAAACAAGGATAAACTTTTTACAGAAGGAGTACAGTAGAGGTTCATCAGGCTGAGCTCTGGGATGGTGAGACTGTCCTATGAGTTGATGAAGGCTGGGCTTACATTATTGAGAATTTTTAAAAACGAAAGGTGACTTCATTGAGATGTGCACCATTCTTAAAGGTCTGAAAAAGGAAGATGCAGAAATGATATTTCTCCGGCCTAATTTGTCTACAATTAGAGTACACAGTCTCCGAGTAACAGGCAAGCTATATAGGACTGAGAGGAGGAGGAATATTTTCACTCAAAAGGTAATGGCTATTTGGGAATCTACCCCAGAAAGCTGTGAAGTGCTAGTCATCAAATAGATTTCTTTACACTTCTTACATAATTGGCTATAAGAATAGTATGGGAAAATGATATTGAGATGGATACACTGCAGCCCAGAATGGCATAATAGGCATTGGGGATAAATGGCGTGCTCCTGTGCCTATATTGCTACATTCCTGCAATATAACCATTTCACATTTGTACTATAATTCACTACAACATTAGCCCAGTTCAGAAAATAATTCTGAGGAACCCTGTCTTTCACCTTACACCCTTTTTTCATCTGACCAATCTCCCGCACCCATGGCCTCTCTATACCCTCCCCAGATTCACCATGCACCTTCCATGATTTCTATATCCCATAAGACTATAAGCTGTGAGAGTAGAAGTCAGCCATTCAGCCCATCGTGTCTGCTCTGTCATTCAATAAGATCATGGCTAATTTGATAATCCTCAACTCTGCTGTCCTGCATTGTCCCGATAATTATCGCCAACAATTTATCCTGGTCTGTCCACGTCAACACTACAGTCAAGAAAGAACACCAACGTCTCTACTTCCTTGGGAGCCTAAGGAAATTTGAAATGTCCACAATAATTCTTACCAGTTTTTATTGATGCACCATAGAAAACATCTTATCCGGATGCATCACAGCTTGGTATGGCAACTGGTCTTCCCAAGGACGCAAAAAATTACACAGAGTTGTGAACAAAGCTCAGTCCACCACGAAAACCAGCCTTCCTTCCATTGACTCCGTCTACACTCCCTGCTGCTTTGGGGAAAAGCCAACATAATCATAGAGCCTTCCCAACCTGGTCACACTGTTTTTCACCCTCTTCCTTTAGGCAGAAGATACGTAAGTTTGAAAACACATAGCAACAGATTCAAGAACAGCTTTTCCCCCGCTGTTACCAGACTTATGAACTGACCTCTCATATATTAGAATGATCTTTCTCTGCACCTTCTCTGTAGCTGTAACACCTATATTTTGCATTCTGTTCTATTACCCTAATGTACTTGTAGGGTATGAGTTGTCTGATTAGCATGTAAAGCAATACTTTTCGCTGTATCTCAGTACATGTGACAATAACAAATCAATCCAATTCAAAAACTCTTTATTCCTTTAATGATTAAAAATCTATTATAGGTTTGAATTTACTCAACGACCAAGCCTCTTCAGTCCTCTGCATTAAAAATTCCACAGATTCACAACCCTCTGAGAGAAAAAAATTCCTCTTCGTCACTGTCATAAATAAGCAATCCCTTACTACCATCCAATACCCCTCATAGTTCCCAGGCCTCTGTGCATTCTTTATGCATCATTGTATTATCTTGCCAATCAACTGACACTCTGTTCTCATACAATATAAAAATTGGTTTCCCTTTACTTTGGTGTTGCTTGCAAATTCTCCTGATGTGTCCAAAGTAAAAAGCTTTAACAAAGCAATAATACTCGGGTCTGTACAACCAAATGACTAAATGTATCTACCATGTCCTGTCTGCTCCTAAATTATTCCCTCATCTATAACTTCTTGGAATTTTTTTTTGAAAAAGAGCTTACGACTAGCAGCCATTTCTTTATTTCATTTTGATGTTCATTTTATAATTTCAGGATCAACCTTCAAAGCATGCATAATTTCCCAAAACAAGATACATGGCAATGCTGGGAATCTGAAATAAAGCTAGAAAATGTTGGAAATGCTCAGCATTCATTTATAGAGAATAAAAAGTTAACAGGAAGCAATTTATTGGCCCAGAAGAGGCATAAACTGAGATGGGAGTGTCATAGGAATGGGGATAGGCCATTCAGCCCATTGAGGTTGCCTGATTCTATTCTATCACAGCTATCCAAAACGTCAATCCCTTCTACACACCGCATCCCTATACACTGCCAGTAATCAATTAGTTTAACCTTGATGATAGAGAACCCTGTAGAAACAATAATTAGGCAAAATTAACAGGCCAGATGTGGATTAGTTGAAGAATGTCCTCTGGATTTATTAAAACCAAATGATGCTTAATTTGCTTGCTTGAATTGTTAAATGAGATAACAGGGTGGATGAAAATAATGTTGTTGATGCAATGGACATGAATTTCCAAAAGGATTTGATAAAATACCACATCGCAGAATTTTAAAGAAATTTACTACTCGTGCAATTAAAGGTGACAGTAACAAAATTGATGTGAAGTTGGCTGAGTGACAATAAACAGAAAGAAGTTGAAAAGATGTAAATAGGTTGGTGAAACAGATGAACAAATGGCAGACAAAATTTAATGCTGTGAAGTATGTCAGTATCACACAGCAGACTTGTGAGAAAAATTATAAGTCATGGTATAAAAGGGACAGTAGCAACATAGATGCAATATAGGCTGAGTAACAGGAAACCAAGAGTAAAGGTGAATGAGTATTTTTTGCGCTAGACAATTGAAGTTCCCTAGCTGTAGGAATTGGTACTCTTTTCCTCATATATATACATGATGTAGACCTTGGTGCACAGGGGACAATTTCAAAGTTTGTGGATGATGCAAACTTGGACAAATTGTAAACTGTGAGTAGGACAGTGCAGAACTTCAAAAGGTCATTGACAAGTTGGTGTAGTAGGTGGATAGGGGACAGATGAAGTTCAGTGCAAAGTGTGAAGTAATTCAAAGAATATGAAAAGGCAGTACTAAATGAAGAGCATTATTCTAAAGGGTGTGCAGGAGCCGAGAGATGTGAGTGTATGTACATAAATAAAGATAGCAGAATAGTCAGACATGGCTGTTAATAAAGCTTGCATAACTAGAGAAATAAGTACAACAGCAATGAGGTTATCTTGACCTTATATAAGACACCGGTTTAACCTCAGCTGGAGCACTGTGTACTGGTCTGGGCACCACATTATGGAGGTTTTCTGATCAACTTGTTCGGAGATGTTATAGCACATCTCTGGAGCACGTAGGGGTTAAATCTGGGCCTCAGGTTGTAGGAAAGACATGAACTCATTAGTGAGAGTGCAGAACAGGTTTGTGAAAATTGATCCAGGGATGAGACACTTCAGTTATGGGGAAAGATTGGTGATATTGGGACTGTTTTCCTCGGAAAGGAAAATACCAGGAGGATATTGGTTGAAGTTATCAAAGTCAGAAGTCATATGACACCAAGTTATTGTCCAACAGGTTTATTTAAAATGACAAGTTTTCAGAGCGCTGCTCCTTTGTCAGGTGAAGTTTTCAAAATTACAAAAGGTCTGAGCAGAGTTAAAAGGGAGAAACTGTTCCCACTCTTAAATAGATAGAGAACCAGATTCACGGATTTAAAGTGATTTGCAAATGAAACAAATGCAAGGTGAGAAAAGACTTTTTCGCTCATTAGGAAGGTTGAGTTTAGACTGTGCTGCCTGGAAGAGGCAGGTTCAATTGACACCTCAAGAGAATTGAATTTTTTAAAAATAGAAACAATGTGCAGGACTACGAGAAAAGGCAGGAGGTATGCGTTAAGTTAAAGTTGTCTGAAAGCTAATACAGACATTGTGAGCCAAATGGCTTCCTTGCAATCATTTTGTGATTAGTTTTAAGAACATAGGAAATAGGAGCAGGAGTTGATCATTCAAACCTGCTAGATCATTTGACCAGATCATGTCTGATCTTCTACATCAAAGCCGTTCTGCTGCACTGCGCCCATGTCCCTTGTTTTCTTTAATATCTCGACATCTATTGATCTTTGTTCTGAATACATCCAATGCCACAGTCTCCTGGGTAGAAAATTCCAAAGGTGAAGTTCAGAGTGATAGGGAGAAACTGGCCTTGTTGGTGGAGGGAGAAAAAACAGAGGAGACATATTTAAGGCAAAAGTCACAATGGCAACATGAGAAAAGCAATTTCAGGCAGCATTGGCTTATTTCTGGAATGTACCTGCTTGACAATAGTGATGGTGGCTTCAATTGAGACCTTCAAAAGAGAGTAATTGATAATTTTCTGAAAATTAAATATTTTCAGGTCAATAGGGAAGGGCAGGGGAGTGGTTGGGATTCTGTTGTGTTAGACAAGCACAGACAGGAGAGGCTGACTGGCCTCTTTCTGGTTCATACATATTCAATCTTTCTATGTTTCTGTGCCAACAGTGATCTAATTACATTTTTAATACAAAGTCTTGTTTTAATTCTTGGTTTCATCCTTAATTATCATTTAAATAAATGTAACTAATTACAACAAGCTCTGCTAATAACAAAACAACTTCCAAGAATGCCAGTGGGCTCATTTTTTTTAAGACAACAAGGTGCAGAGCTGGATGAACACAGCAGGCCAAGCAGCATCATAGGAGCAGAAAGGCTGACGTTTCGG